GTTCTGGGTCAAGTTCTCCTTCGTACATTTGAACACATGGACACACCATGTCACCAAGATCCCATGGAGTCTCTGCTATATGTGGGCTAGACCAGGAGGTAAGGGCATACCCAGCATGGGGACAACCAGGACCAGCCTACCTGGCCTGCTGTACTGGACACTTGTCTGGGTTTCCCAGGAACACCTGACGGATGGCACTGAGGTCTATGAAGTCCACGAGGTTGACCAGGGCTCTGGGCACCTAAGGACAAGGCTGGGGATGAGAGAGGGGCTGCAGGGGCTTCTTTTTCAGGCTGCCTTAGGCCCTGAGGAGTGGGGAACTGGCTGTAGGACTCCTTTAGAACCCTAGCTTGGTATGCCCTGAGTCTGTACAGGATCCTGCAGTCCATGCTTCTCACACGCCCACCAGGTGCCACCCATAAGAGCTGCAGTGGGAAGGCACCTCCTAGGACAATAAATCCTAAGAGTTCAGTTCTATTAAACCATCATTTAGTGAGCCCTTATGCTAGCTTTAAACTTGGTGAGATACAGGACCTGCTTGCCAGCCCATTAGCCCTTGACCAGTTCCTTCCAGCCCAACCTGACCTAACTCTGCTGAGTACACATGGGGTCTCAGCCACCCCCAGAGCCTTGGTGGTCAGTGTGCTCCGTATTGGGCAGCTGGTGCACCTTGTCCTTGCCAGGGATGGTGGTCATGACAGGTGGGTCCACTGCTGGGTGCAGGACCGGACAGAGTTTGCTCTAAACATACCCTGTGGCTCAAAATGCAGTGTCCACCTGGCTGCTGCCCCCAAGGAATGTCCCAGGTAGTGGGATAATATGTTGCCTTCCCTTCTTCAAACCTCAGATCCTTTTAGGCGATTCCAAATGCAATGAGGCTTCCTTGGGGGAGGGGGGACCCTAACCTTTAGAAAGGGAAGGAGCCCATGTCTTTTTGCTCTGTCCTTGAGGGGAGGGGGTACTCCACCATTCTCTCTTCCATTCCCCTTCCCCTTCACCATGTTTGAGCTGTTACCAGCTGCTGGGAGCCCCCCACCCACCTCTCTGTGTAGGATGTCCAAGGCATTGCGGAGATGGCCAAAAAAGTTGGCTGCAGAATATAGATTCTGGAAAGAGAAGAGAACCGGTTATGGTGTGAGGGCAGTAGGGCAGTTACAGGCTTCCCTTTTGGCTCTGGCCCCACAGACCTGTTCTCCCTCTGCCTCTGCCTATCAGGACCTGAGATGGACAGGTGACTACTCGCGGTTGTCAAAGGTGGGCCAGCCAGAAGGACAGAACCTTCATCTGGAGCTTTAGCTCAGGAGCAGAAAGTAGAGATTCCTCTTTCCAGCTTCTTGGAGTCTATAGTATTTTTTCTTTCTCAATTCTTGGGAGTTGTAAGAGAGAAGAAATATCCTATATCTACTATCTGCTACCTCACCATCTGGGACAGAGTGAGGGTAAGAAGTGTGTGTGAGAGAATTATACGCCTACGGGTGTACAGGTGCAGTTGGACGATACTCAGGTTGGCTCTAGGGACTATTCTCAGAGAGGATCTCCAAGGGCTACTGGTCAAAGTCAAGAGCAATGAGCAAGCCGAGACCGGTCCCCATTACCGAATCTGTGCAGAAGTCACATAAATCATTGGCTCCAATCAGCACCGTGATGACCTTCCAGTCTTCATGAAAATTTACTCTCTACATGGAGAGAGGAAGATGCTTAATGATTTCCAACAAAACACATGAAAACATCACAGCTCTAGGAAATCCATCCAACCCTCTAGGACAGTGATTTTTCAACTGGTGTGCTGACTAATGTCCTGGGAGAAGATCTTAGGTGTTCTGCAAAACTTTTAAAAAATCATTAATTAAATTATTTTCTAAAGAAGTTCAAAGCACAGTAAGTATATTCTTTAACTCTTCTTTTGGATCAACATAATTTAAGTGTGCTGTGGAAGTTTAACTACAGTTCAAATGTGCCATGAGATTAAAAAAAAAGTTGAAAAACACTGCTCTAGGACTTTCGTGCCCACTTGAAATAATAGAATCAGAAACTCAGAGCTGAGGCAATTTTAAAGGTTTATTTATAGACCATGGAATCTTTGCACTAGGAGGGGCTTGCAAAGTCACCGTGGCCAGCAATAAACCCCTCCCCATGGACATAATGTCCTCCAGAGGACCTCTGGCTGGCGGCTGCCCTACCACTGCTGGAATGCCTCTAATGACAGGCGATTCTCTGCTTTTCATCATAGACTATTCCATTTGGGGACAACTTTAGTGGGTTAAAAAATTAATATTTATTAGCCAGGCATTGTGGCAGGCGCCTGTAGTCCCAGCTACTCAGGAGGCTGAGGTAAGAGAATCACTGAAGCCCGAGAATTTGAGGTTGCTGTGAGCTGTGATGCCACAGCACTCTGCCAAGGGCGACATAGTGAGACTCTGTCTCAAATAAAAAAAGAAAAGAAAATTAATATTTAGAAATAACCATAAATTTGACTCACATGGTCATCTTTCATCTTTTGTACCAAAGTCTGGGCTTGGCTTATAAGATCCCTGAGAAAAAGAGAAAACCAATCTTTAAGGTGAGGAATAGTGTCCACCATTTTCCTCCTAAAGGGTCTGAACTTGAGGTCTCTATGGCATCATCCCCACTGCATGAGCTGGCAGAGACTCTGAGGCCTGGAGACCAGGAGCTTCTTGCCTCTGCTGGAGAATTATCACAACCAAGAATCATTTGAAAGCCAATTGTGTGTCTGTCCTACAGCTGGAGTTGAAGGTATTGCCAACTTTGTCTGTTGCTCCGGTCTCCTTCTAGGACTCCACGCCTAGAAGGTCTTATTGGGTTCCATGTTAAGAAACCATTCATCTCTTTTGGAAGACTAGGCTTCTAGAATCTGGAAATTAACATGAAATTTACCACGGTTCCTCTGGCTGCCAGGAAGCTGAGGGTTTGATGCTCCAACATATTAACCATAAAAATGTTCATATTAACACAGTTGCTATTTCTTCATTTCCCCCAATGGCTGCGATTTTTCTCTCTTATGTTATCTGTTATTTATTTTTGATAAACTTATCTAGATGTTTCTTTCAGAAAGAGATAGGGAATAAATATTTTCCCTACACATGCCTGGGTTTATAATTCATGGCAGGAATAGATCGCAGGCACCTAAGCTCCCCACTTGTTCAGGCCCCTGTTATAGGTCTAGGTGGCATAGATCCATAATACAGTGATCTCTCAGGATATGGGGTGGTGCCTTCCATCCCAAGATGTTCCTATCACCAGGAAGAGTCTTCCAGTAAGTGAGCAGGCCTGGGGGCAAAGTCATCATCCAGAAGGGTGTGACAGAAGCTCAGATGACTGAGCCAGGAGCTGGGTGTGGTAAGGAGACCCAGGCTGCCTGGGTCCCCTTGGGAGACCATCCCAGGAGGCTGGGCTCCTCCCCTTTCTCTCTCTCGTTAGCTCCATAATGGAGCTAGAGAGAGGACAAGACTTGTTGCCACAGAGGCCTCTAAAGCCAGAAAGCTTGAGCAGCTATCTGGCCCCTCCCTGATCTCTCTGGGGAGTTGCCACTTGTGAGGTTCTGGGGAGAGTGGATCTCTCTAGCACAGTTATACTGTGGTACATTTTAAAAATTGAATAAAGGCAGTCAGTTAGTCCAATTACTAGATCACAGTGTATGTGAAAGAGAGGCCAGGAGTTGCGTCTGTAGGGGCATCACGCCTTTCCATGGCCACATCCTGTCTATCCTCCCTGCGATGACCTTAGTCACAGGACGGCAGAGAGGAGAGGGGGCCTGAGCCTCTCCCATCCTTGCTGCTAATGGGTACAGGCCCCTTTGCACACAGAGGTTGGTTTTGTGATCTTAAGCATGTCTGTGTCTCCCCCGCTGCCAGCTCTGCAGACCCTCTCCCCAAATGCCATACTCAGCCTTCGCTCCAGGAGCAGCTTGATTGAGGAATGCATTCATGTCATTGGCACCACCTGTGCCCACCGCGTAGCCTGTGAGATTTCTGTTAAACTCTCGAAGGATATCTGGAAAGGGGGTGAACAGGACACAGATGGCTCAGGGCAGAAGTCCAGGGTACCTTCTCTGGGACTGAGTGAGGGTCTGAGGTCCCCAAAGTGGGCTGTGCTACCATCCCTGTGCTTCCTGGGGAGAGGCATGTGTGCCCAGTAGCAGGTGGGGCCTCTCTGGGTCGGAATGGCCTGCTGACAGGTGGGCCAAGACAGCAAGAAAAAAAAATTTACAGTGCTGTGAAAGGTCACTATCTAATTTACCCCAGCATTCCCTGGGCCAGGTAGAACCTGAACTTAGAATGTTTGGTAACTTGTTCTGGGTCATCTGACAAGCATATAGAAAGGCCCAGATCTCCAGGCTCCAAGTCCGGGGTTCATTCCATCCCCCTTCAGCTGTCTGTCCACAGCCTGCCCTTTCCTACTTCAAGGAAGGGATGTCACTTGCTCCTTAGCTGGGAGGCACTCTCAGGAAGACTAGGGGTCAGATGCAACGTAGACAGACCAAGGCCCTGATGGCTACTCACTAGGTAAGGTGGTCACATTCTCCAGGGAGCCGTCCCCTCCTGCACTGTAGGGAGGGAGCAAGTTAGTGAAGGAGAGAGATTAATTGAATACATAAACTTTACAAAAGAGTGGCCTCCACCTTTCTTAGTGCCCAGCAGCACCTATGAGATGTACCATACCTGTCTCTCTGTGTTGGAGGAATCCCAAGAGAATTTTGAATTCCCCAGCAGATTGGTTCCCCCCAATCCAGCATTGGAAGGCAAGAGAGCTGCTTCTTTCCTTCATCAAATCAAGAGAGAGAACGCTTATCTGAGCATGTGCTGGGTGCCCAGCCATGAACTAGACTCTGTTATCTCATCTCTCTCAATGCGCCTATGACACTGACATGACTATCTCCATTTTTCGGGTTCGGAACTTGAGTTCGCCGGGGTTTATTTACTTTGTTGGGGTTACTTAAACCCCGGTTTGGGTTGGAACCCTTTAGAAAATAGGTAAGCAGTTGTTCAGCAGTTGGACAAGTTCTGATGTAATGTTCAAGGGAGGGCAGGTGGCCTCACACTGCCTTGCAATGCTCTAATTTTCTTCTAATTGAACCTTAAGCACACTATGAAGATTTTGTTTCCTTTCATGCATCTGCACACAACGTATCACTTGTTGGCATTTGGGCTTAGATCATGTGCAATGATCTTACCAGTTTAAACTGAGTAGGGCACAGAGGAGGTAAGGACAGAAGTATTTTTTTTGGGGGGGGGAGGGATAGAGTCTCACTCGCCCTGAGTAGAGAGGTATCACAGCTCACAGCAACCTCAAACTCTTGGGCTTAAGAGATTCTCTTGCCTTGCCTCAGCTTTCCTAGTAGCTGGGACTACAGGCATCCACCACAAGGCCTGGCTATTTTCTTGTAGTTGTCATTGTTTAGCAGGCCTGGGCCGAGTTCGAACCCGCCAGCCTTGGGTATGTGGCCAGCACCCTATCCACTGAGCTATGGACACCACCAGGACAGAAGTATTTGCGTTTTAACAAAATCTGATGTTCAAATAACAGTAAATACTGTTATTTTGCTTCTGCGCCTCTTTCCTCAATCCCAGATTGAGACTGGCCAGATTATTCCAGGCCAATAGATTTTAAAAACACAGCCTTAGCATCCAGCCTGCCAGCAGAGACTTCTAACGAACAGGCCAGGAATCAGGCATAGTTGTTCTTCACTCAAGGAATGCTTGGAATGAAGCTGATGGCTACATGCCAGCGTGGTCCAGGGGTGAGTCAGAGACTCAGCAAGCAGCCCAGGTGGTAGAGAGGAAGCAGCTGGAGTAAGTCCTGCCCGTTTACCTCACCCATCAGATGTCAATGGAACCTAACCCATCAATGTTAGGTTCCCATCAGATGTCTGAACCTAACATTCCCAGGGGTGGGTATCTATTTGTGCCTCTGATTCTCTTCTGACTCTGCGCGAAGCTCCTGCTTTAGCTGCTTCCTGATCCCTCTTTCTCTGGACTAAAGGCACCAGATCAGAACATGTTACACCAGAAAGGAAACTGTAAATGGATACACTGCCTCCAATCACTGTCTTCAACCTCTGCCTCCTTTTTTCCTTCAATAAAAACATAAACATGAAGACATATCTAAACACACACATCGATTATTTCCTATTCTAATTTCTTGTTTAAAGGTATTTTTGTCTTTAAAAAAGTGTGGTGGCTGATTAAGACGAACAGGCTATGAAAATTTCTCCCTGGCTTCATTTTGGACTGTAAATTTCTAGAAGAAAAAAGGACTATACAGATCAACATGAAAGAGCAAAAATACTTAAACCTTCATTTTTTAAAATCAGAACTATGTGTGACATGAAACAGACCCACGTCAGCTAGTCTATGGCAGATCCTTCAGATGAATACAATTTGTATCACACGGTGAGCCCAATGGGTGAGCCTTATCTGTTCTCACCGGCAGTGTACAGAAAACCAGAATAGATGCTAAGTAACATTTGTTAAAGGAGTTTCAATAATGTGAGACTGAACTCCTAAGTTAATAGAACAAAGAAATTCATTTCTTGGTCAGTAAATTTTATTTTGGTCTTTTTAATGATCCCAAATGAGCAAACTTATTTCAATGGAAGGAAAGGCAATCATCTAAAGACCTGGACCACCACCTTGTTAAGCTTATAAACTTTCACTAGTACCCAGGTTACAGGGCCTTGAATACTCATGGCCAAACCTCCTCTCCAGATCCTGCTCACAGCCACCACCCCCTGAGAATTCTAGATCCACTTCTCCTAACTCCTCAGTTCACTCTTCCCACTTTGGTTTTTCTGGGGGGAAAGTGGCTCAGATGAGACTACTACTGGACGCTTCCAGTGGAATTGGCATTATGAACAAATAACATTCTGGAATTAAGAAAAACACTAAACAGATAAAATTTAAACACGGTTCTTCATTGCAGGGCTTCTTGGAGCCTTTAATATGCTAATATGCATGTGACTTCTCCAGAAGAAGGATAAAATAATGTTTCCCTAAAAATATGCAGGATTTTCCCTTCTTAAGGAACCTGTCTGGAGTTAATGTCCCACAGAAGATACTTTGAGAAAACTAGTTTGCACATTAGGTCATTAAAGAGAAAAATGTCCAATTTCAAATCAAAAGCATAGTTTATTATATGTTAAAAGAAGCAGTACGATTAATCAAAGTATACACCTAAATCATTGGCATGGTTTTGACATCTTAACATTTGTGCCAGTGCCGAAGAAGCCTGGAAAGTGAGTGGTGACTGAAATCACAAAAGGTGTTTTCCACAGCTTGTTGGGAATTAAATATTTTTCCTTATGAGAAGTGGTCCAAAGCCTGGAAGAAGTGGTTGTCATTTGATGCAAGG